ATGATGAATTTTTTTTTTTTAGTTATTTCTGAATACTTGCAAGAAAACAACCCAAAAACAGATAGAGGTTATACTAAAACTTAAGCAACGAAAATCTCTATAGAAAACCCCAATAAAAATTAACTAATCCTTGTGAAAGCATTTGGAGATGTTAATTTCACAGTTCAGAATTCACACTTCACCCAATTGATTAATTTCAAGTGAGAACTTCTACATCCATAAAGACATTTCAAATTGTGGTTACTGGTTTGATGCAAAGGAATGATCAGGGGCAAAATTGGGTTTTAAAAACATTTCACCCATATATGATGTGATATACATTAGGGGTGAGTAAATGGGTAGGTTCTACCCAAAACCGAATGGAACTGGCCTTGAATTGGTCCTGAACTGACCTTACCCGATCTGTTATAGGGTTGATTCCGGGGTCTAAAGGTTTACCTTACCAAACCGACCCAACCCGATGAATTGACCTTGGTTGGCCTTGGTTGAACCTGCCTTGGAACCAAACTTGCCTTTAAATAAACTTGAAAATACTTTTGAGGATGTGAAGATTTAAATCCAAGAACTCATGGTTACAAAGGCCATTGTCTCATTCAACCACCGAGTTACTTTAAGTGATTTGATCATTTGTTTTCATGTTAATATTTAATTGTATATAATAAGTAATATAAAAGGTAATATTTACAAAATTTAAATTTAAATTATAAGTTTTGAACCATATAATGATAGTTCACCTATTAACTTACTCAATTTAATCAAAAAATATTATATAAGTTTTAAACTATATATATCATATTTATTGAAAACCAAGTTTTCAAAGAACATGTTTTTTTTTCAAGGGGGAGAATAAACAAAGAACAGGTTCCACAAGTAGACTCCGAAACCTACCCTAGAACCACCAAGGCCAAAAACGACCCTGGAACCTTCACAAGATGGATTCTAGTTCAAAAAATCTAGAATCTATCCTATCTACCATAGAACCAAACCGAATCAACCCATGCCCACCCCTGATATACAAATAGTTTTAATCCATCATCAATGGAGGGAGGTCTTTATCCATGATATTAATCAATAGGGTATTTATTAGTCCATTTTAGTAGTTAAGAAAAACATTAAGGAAGGATTAACTGATAAATAGGGTATGTGTTTGGTTTCGTTTACGTTTATTGGAGGGGGCGTTTATCAGATAAATGTTTATCTGATAAAATCTCACTTTAAACGTTTTTTTTTTCTTTTGTTTGTTTGTTTGGTTGGGCCTATTTTGGGCGTTTCAAGAAACGCCCCTTTACCACTCAGCACAATAAACGTTTTTTCATATTTGTTGTTTGGTGGTGCATCTAAAGAAACAACCATATGGGTGTTTCAGTATGACACTTTCACTTGGATGTATAGAATCCATTAGTCAATCCAATGGTCCAAATTACCTATACTTGCATTGAATGACCGATTTTCGGATTCAACGGTAGATACATGATGCAACCCACATCTAATGGTCGAAATGTGTGGTATAGGTCCTCAAAGTTTGAAATCAATATTTGTTGATGCATATTATATGCAAATTATCAATTTTTTTATCTCCTAACCTCATTTCATTGCTTGTTTGATATTTTCTTCTATTCTTGGATTCCAGAAAAATATTTGATTGGTAAAATTTTAGTTTGATTGAAAAAATATTTATTTGCACCTTGAAAATGAACTTTGCAAATGGGTTTTTTACTTAAACTTTGAATAAAATTGATAAAAAACAGAAGTTTTTACTAATAAAAATCAGAAGTTTTTGCAACCAAGACAAGAAAGGGGCCTAAATTCCACCATGACCTCATCCAAGACAAGAAAGAAGGCAAGTCATTTTACGCACCCCTCGTTTTTGGAGATTTATTAAATGGCAATGCATTCACATATATTTTGGAGATTCTTGTCATGTAAGATGGAACAATTACCAAAAGATCTCTAAGCTTACTTGTTAGAATATGCTTAGTTTGCTTCATCTAACCACTAAATGCAAATATTCAAATGCAGCATTAAGGCTTTGAGGTAAATAAGTAGCAGGTATATCCTTAAATGCAATCCTTTATATAATTATCCTCTGTAGCAAAGTTTGAAACTAGTATATTCATCAAATCAGAATTTAAATGATGAAAGAGGTTTGCAAGATTGTAATTCAGTATTGTTGGCCAGGGCATTAGGGCCATGTGTTTTAATCACACGCAAAACAGATCTGATACCAATCATCTCAAATACAGCTCCAACGGTGTTAATTTCCTCCAAGAAACACTTAACTCCCTAAAACCTTACTTTACCCTGTATGACCGGAGCCGTGCATCAGGCAAACTAATATATCCAAACCCTCATATATATCTACTCAAAAGAGAGAAACGGTTTGCAAGTAGAACCTCCAATATTGCAAAGACGTCGATCTAAAACATTATATAGGGAAACCAGGTAACTTCACAGAACCATTAACTAAGTAATAGATTTAGAATTTTTCAACAACAGAACAAGAAGACATTGGACAGAAAAGAGTTAATTCATCATTCAAGCAAAAAAAGAGCAGCCAACGTCGAGGTTAATCCTGCAGAAAAAAAAAAAAAACGTAAGGCTCAGTTTGGAAGGAGTACAAAAGCAAATTTGTAAAGTATAAAACCTTGTATTTTATATTATTTTGTATGTGATGTAGGATGATTTGACTCGATCATTGAGACGGTGACATGTGGACATGACTCAACATAAGTAACAGCTCAGCACAACAGCCTCACCGTGACTAAGTAACGAGTCCGCAGGACAGCTTGCTACGTCACAACTCGCTATATGATGAGCTCGATGACCCCCGATGTACTAAAAGGGAATACTCCAAGACAAGTTTACCCCAGCTTGCAAGTTAGGATAATCAGCTCGCTCCAATACTTAGGCAGAAAAACTGCCTCAAGGGCCACTTTAAGATGAATCACCTCGCAATACCCTCAGGAGTTCGCTACAAGGTAGCTCGCGACATGATAGCTCGCTACTAAGCGACGTGATGTTTTCAGGAAACTTCTATCTGACAAGACCGTATCCGTCAGACTGCACCACGTCTCTTGACCGACGGCGCAGTCCCTGCCAGCCTGACAAGTCTGCGCCCACGTCTCTTGATAGGTGGTGGCGTGTTTGTCCTTCCAGGACGTGTCACTCATCCGATTGGGTAGTACACTGCAACGGTTACCTGCGTAGCCTGACAGATAACGGCTGCGATAGAGGTCCAGTGGTGGTTACGCCCAATTTGACAAGAACGCTCATATATAAGAGCCCCCTAGTTGAAGGGAAGGCCTATCTCGAAGATCTGATATCTTATCTTGAATATCTCAAACTTTCTCTCAAGCTAACTCAGCGATCTAATGCGACCTACACTCTTAGCCTTCTTTACACTCTTAACTACTTTCTCTAACGTTCTAACTTAAGCATCGGAGTATTCCCATCGGGCAAGTCCCCCAGGAATCCTTCACCGTCTTCTTCTCAGGTACCGTTCGTCGCCAGCGAGGAGACAGTTAGCTACCAGATAGGAGTGCCTGGATTGCGTAACATCAATATGTAATACTCATTCCAAACTATACATATCATATGATTCTCATATTGAAGGGGGTCTTAAACTACTTAATTAGGGTTTTATTTTTCATTTTCTTTTGTTCTTTTTCTTCTTCTTCTCGTCCTTTTTTCTTTAAAGCTTTTAATTTTAGTGTTGCAGAATATCTTGACTGGTTGGAAGACAACGAAGTGAAGGCAAAGAGGAACATATCCATGACCTTTGAGGAGATATTTGGCTGATTTGCACCGATTTGCAAAATGAAGAACGGCGGACGAAGCACCTTGCCGACAGGTTACAGAACTGGAAAAACAAGGAGAAATGTTACGAGTCATCAAGAAAAAAAAACACCTTGCCGGCGGCAAGGCGGGGGATTAACGGGTTGTCGACGGCAAACTTACTAGTGTCCACGTTACTGTGCAAAAAGAAAGAACTCCCTGCTCCACCGATTGTTTGTGGCGTCCGCTTCTGTTCGTGGTTAGGGCTTCAAAAGTGTTTTTATTGTGGGATGGTAAATCCACAATGCACCGGATCAAAAACTAACTGTACCACATCAGATGCCACACCAGTGCCACATCACACGTGCATTTCATAAAATGGCTAACCGTTGGGAGAAGCGAGAATTGGATGTTTCTCCAAATGGCTCTTTTCACACAAGTCGATGAAAAACATTTATTAGCGTTTTTTTAATAAATGCTTGAACCAAATAATAATTTCAAAGCCAATAAACATTTATTGTGCCAAATGCTAATATGGCGCTGAAATAGTAGCGTTTTTTCAATAAATGTAAAAGGAACCAAACACCCTCAAAGTGTTTGAAACAGTATGCGTTTATTAATAAATGATGCCACATGTGCGCCACTTCATTAGTTCCCCTCTCATATTCTTCGGTACATATCAAGAATAGCAAAATATAACTTTGATTTTGTACGAATCTACCCTTTGATGAAGTTCTTTTTTAAAATTTCCAACCATTAAATATTTCTTTACTATTATACTGATGTGGTGCTTGCTAACGCCCTATTGGCGCTAATTGTCATAAGTTTTATAATTATTACTTTTCTCAACTTTACAAACAAATAAAATACAAACTTTCAATCAAAAAACGTAAACGGAACCAATTACATACAGTCTTTTACCCAGAAAAAAGTGCAGTCAGATATAACGAGTCTTGGGAAGTAAAATTACGAAATGCATATGCAGTCTCCATGTGTCGAGTCAAAAAAATACGGACAACGAAAATATTTAAGAAAAGGGGGGAAAACGCAACCATGTGAATCGTGGGAATGAATGACACAGTTGAACTTGTTAGTTGTAGTTGCCTAGTTGGTAAGAGAGAGAGAGGGGTGGACCCCAACCCACCACCCACGAAAAACACACACCGCTATTCGGCAACCGACACTCCAATTTTTTTTTTTTGTTTTTTTTTTTTTTTTCTCTTTTTTCATTTTAGCTTTACGGCTCAACCCTACTACTTCTGTACCGCACTTAAATCGTCATCTCCCATCATTCGTTCTCGTTCGAGTAGCCTTCCATTCCAAATTTCCGATCCATCCCAATTATAGATACTGCATGTGGTAGTGTACCTTCCTCGCTACAACCTCCCCCCTTTCTTCACTTTAAATTTCAACTCTCCTCAGTCCTCCCTCCCCTCCCGTAATTTGTAATCTCCTCTGAAACCCAATAGAGATACGAGGATTTCTTTTGCCGAAAATGCCGCTAAGTTTGGCGGGAGGCCCTGTTCCTGCCGTCCTCTCTGCGATCTTGGTTTTCCTTTTGGCATTTGTTAGGGCTGAAGATCCTTACAGGTTCTTCACCTGGAATGTTACGTACGGCGACATTTATCCTCTCGGCGTCCGTCAACAGGTTGGTGCTGTACAATTTTGTAATCATAATAATATCGTTTCCTCTATCTCTTAACTACATCTGACTGCGAGTTCATTCTGCTTCTGTGTCGTAGGGAATACTGATCAATGGACAATTTCCTGGTCCTGATATCTACTCTGTTACAAACGACAATCTCATCATAAATGTTTACAACAGTTTGCCGGAGCCCTTTCTTATCTCTTGGTGAGTGATCCATTCTCTCTCTCTCTCCCTCTCTCTGAAGTCTGAACATCGTCACCTTTACCTATAGTCAGTCGTTTGATTAATAAATTTTATGTTAAATGCGAATTACATGCTTTAATACTTTTTATATTAACCACTTTTTTTATGTACGCCGTACTCTGTCAAGAGAATCAAATTAGTTCGCCGGATCTACATTACTTTTTTTCAACTGGCTTTAGTTGTTAGCGGAAGCGATTGAGAAACTTCCACGATAGCTGTCGAAATCTCCAACGAGAGGTGGACGGACTTTGTGTATTTGTCCGTTCTTGTCTGTAAATCGGCAAATTTCTACCTCAATTTTTTTTACCTTTGTTTTGACAACGAGGCCTTTCGTTAACTGACGACGGAGATTTGTGTCTCTAGCTCGTATCACTTCTGCTGCCGGTGCTGCGGTGGCGATGGTGGGGATGGTGATGGTCAGATTTGAACGCCGCGCTTCTGATTCCCTCAACCATTCCATCCATTCCTGAGCCCACCACTAGCACGGTAGCACCTGATCGATCGGCCATCTATCATACATCCATCCAATTTTAGTTAACAGTTAGTAATATTATTGCATTATTTCTATTTCTCCAGTAAGTAGAGACCTCAATGCCCAGGTTTACCTCTGAAAGTAAAGAAAAAAAGGCGGCCCCTAATCATCATTTTCTAGTCAATCACCTCCCAGAAAAGCCAAAGCAGATAAAACCAAAACCAAACAAGTGAGACATGTTCGATTGAACGAAAGACGGAGGTGACAGCTAGACATGTGTATACATTTCCTATCTTAATTTGTGGGAGTATTAGAGTTGAGATTCTAGTGCTCGACATCGTTATATGTTAACCATCAAGAATAAATATGTCGGCGGGTGCTTAAACAATGTGGGCTGTAGCTATGATGCGTCAATACAATAGGAAGAACAAAAGTTCCTCGTGGGTCCACATTTTTTTCTAGAATGTTAGATGATATTGAATACACTCACACAGGCAGCTTTTCTGTTTGCCGACACTTCGGCCCGATCCATTTTGCAAATGGGCCTGCATGTAATATTTAAGGTCCCGTTTGGTTCACGGGAATAGGAGTTTGGAATTGGAATTGGAACGGGTCTAATTCGATTTTAATTGTTTGGTTGGATGGAATTGAAATTTAATTCTCATTTCCTGTTTTTTTTTGGAAATAAAATTTCATTACTATTGATCCAATTCTCATTCCCATTTTTATTTATACCAAAAAGATTATAGAAATAAACCATTTTAATTCTGATTTAAAAATTTTGATTCCGATTCTAGTTATGAACCAAACAGACTCTTAGGATTAAGATTTGTTACCAACAAATGCTTTTAACACTGCCCCAACTATTAATGTAGTTACATATGAAATCAGATTTTACTCTCACGAGACCTGTGCCCACACTATTCTCACAATTACTTGTAGCTATGCGAAGTATTTCCTTATAAATAAAAATATATAAAAATAGAAATATTGTAAATACATGATTATACATGATTATAAGTGAGGACTAAATCCAAACTTGTTGCATATGAGAAACATCTTATCATGAATGAATGGTAAGGGAAATGTTTTCAATGTATGGCTACATTGACATGTTGGGATAGTGTTGAGTGTTTTATTGGTAGTAGATTCCACCGCCCTTGCACAGGCATATTGGAAATTGAGAACATCTTTCTATGAATGACAAAAAGAGATGTTTTTAATATGCGATATTTTTGGAAGTATTGGGGAGCGTATTGCATATCCCTACTCGGTTTTGTGAAAAATAATTCTTACTCTGTTTTGTGCACTCTGGGTCTCTTACCTACAAATTCTTTCCGATGAAAAATAATACTTTCTGTGTGGGAGATACTATTGCCCCATGTGCAGGTGCAATGTATTGTGGGCTGTTATGTCATGTGGCTAATTGTTGGGTCCCGTGTGGTATTTGAATGCGGTGAATAAGTCTAAGCCATATACAACAACACAAGAAAAGACAATAAAAATGACAGACACTTGACACTCGGATAATAGGCTGTGGGCGTGTTGAAGGCACTTGATGGTGCGACAAATTGATCACAGACAAGTGGGCAGAGATGTGGATAGGAGATCCGTATTCGGTTTTGTAGCCCCAAAATACTGTTGAGGCAATCAATGTAGGGACCAACGAGCTATTTAACTCCGCAATCTAAATTGGTGATGAGACCATACTAATAGTAAGAATAGGGATGGGGCGGGGCTGTATTTTCTAACCTGAACTCAAATCTCTTACCCTGTCTTCACAGGAGACGGGGATCCCCCAATTTGCTCTGCCCCACCTATAACATATATAAAAGGTTCAAAGTAACGATACAGGCTGATACGTTGATAAGATGTATCAGCCTATATCAATACTTTTTTTAAGTTTTATTTATTTTTTAAAATCAATTTAGAGGGATCGGTTGAAAGCCTCGTTATCCTCTCAATTAGTGCTTGATCCTATACAACCTTTGAAAGAGTATATCTACCATTACTGCTCAAACCCCAAGTAAAAAACTCACCCCTACCGGAATGGTGCGGGGCCTTACAGAGATGGAGCAAATTACCATCTCTATCTAATAGAGTTATTTGCGCACAAAAATACCACCGGAGCTACCTTTGACTTTGGTTAATGATACAATGTGAGTTTTATTTTTATTTTATTTTTTTGTGTTTTTACGGATGGTGTTTTCTGCAACTAATTTATGAGAAAAAAAAAAACAGGAACGGAGTGCTACAGAGGAGGAATTCGTGGCAAGATGGTGTTTACGGAACCAACTGTCCGATCCCTCCAGGAAAGAACTTCACTTACGTTCTTCAGGTGAAAGACCAGATTGGAAGCTTCTTCTACTTTCCTTCTCTTGCCTTCCACAAGGCCGCAGGTGGGTTCGGCGGGATCAGAATACTTAGCCGTCCCAGAATCCCTGTGCCATTCCCAGACCCTGCCGGTGATTTCACTGTTCTCATTGGAGATTGGTACAAGGCCAATCACACGGTAATTATCATTCATTAGTGGCAATCTCCTCTAAATTTTAGTTTTATTTGTTTATTAGCATGAATGTGAATGGAGCGTTTTAACTTTTAACTCGTATAAGTGATAACGTGGACGTGAGGAAAGGAAAGGAAAGGAAACTGGGATATTAAAACAAGACAAAAGATGGATAAATGAGATCCATGTGCTTGTATCGAACTATCGATAGTGGCAACCCAAGGGAAATTTATATTTGACCGAGCTAAATGGTTTTTTGTTTTTACGTTTATGCTCGACTGACAAGATATTATACAGCTGGATCTGTTAGTCCCACACTGGACAACCCCTTATTGCGCTAGTTGGATGATGAAGATGCCGCTAAGAAATCCGGCTTCGGTCAGGGAGATATTCCCAATGCAAGATTACAGTAGGCCTGACATGGGTTGGGGTGGGTCGGATTCGGGTTTAGTCAATACATTTTGAGTTGATTTCGGGTCGGGTTATCAAATGTTAGACCTTAGTTTTAAATGTTTGAGTTAGAGTTGACTCATGGGTCAATTCGGGTCATTCCAAAAAATAAAAAAAAAAATTATATGAAAAATATTAAAATTAAAGGAATTAACCTTAAAATTTTAAATATAAAATAATAAGCTTGAACATTTAACAATTTAAAGAGTAAAGACTAAATAGAAAAAAATAAAAAATGGAAACTTTTAACAAGGCATAAATAGCTCCAATTAGATTTGACAATCTAGTCAACAGGTTAGCCCATAACTCAATCCAATACAACTCAGTTTTTTGGGTTGGGTCGGATTATTCTTACATTCAAGTAGCTAAATATAACACTTTTAACTCTATTTTTCGAGTTAAATTATGTCGGGTCGGATTCACGGATTGGATCAACTTTTTGCCAAGTCTAATTGCAAGGGGCTCTTGGAAAGATGCGAACATCGATTTGCCCTGACAGAAGCGGAACTCTGCTGCTAGAAAGCAGAGATAATACTTCCTCAATTCTGTCTCCACGTGGTACATTCATGGCCATGGAATAAAACAAGTGGGGTTCCTCATGTGTCAGTATTCGCCGATAGCCAAAATTCGATCTCCCATGTTCTTAAACGATCGTAGATGAACGACTTTTTGCAATACCATTTCATAAAAACCCGGCGACTTCTCCAGTTTTGCATGTGGCTAACATGGAGAGTGGACCATCCCCACCTGCCCACCTCGTTGTGGGTCGGGATTTATCATTTATTTTTCTGCATTATCCTACACTCCTGTGCCATTACATGTGCTTGTCCCGTCCTGATTTTTATCCCATCCTATTCAATTCAAATTTTATTGGATCAAGCTTTAGGCCTACGTCATTAAATACATTATTGTTTTTCTTTCTTGGTTCATGGATACACAACCGGGGTAGCCCATCCCCCTCCCATTAACCCCCAACCCTGGTGACAGTGGGATTGATCCCAAGTCTTATAAAGAGTCGAACCTATCAGTTAAGCTATCATCAGTCGGTTAATTAAATACATTACTTTTTAGTATCTGCATATTATGTATGATGTATATTATAATCTAAATAATAATCCATGCTCGGTGTTTAGATTTTAGAATTAGGGACAACTTCATCAGAATGATTTCAAAATCATTAATAAGAGCCAGTAAGTAATTTATGATCTATCATCTATACGGAAAATTATATTTATGATAAAAATAAAAAATGAAGAATTTATATTTGTTTTTGTAGACATTGAAGGCCACACTGGATCGTGGTAAGAAGCTACACTTTCCAGATGGAATTCTCATCAATGGTCGTGGCCCAAATGGTGCATATTTCACGGTGGAGCAAGGTATTTTAAAATTCTTATAGTACTTTATTGCATGCTGCATATCTATCGTTAGTATTTGGAAACACTAGCGGGCAACCCATGCAATGCAATATAAATTTGGTAAGAGGCTTTGAAAGAAGACTTTATATACATATCAATTAAAAAAGAAGTGTTCAAAAAAATACAAGATTTAACAAAGTCATAAAATATCAATCAATGCGATTCCATGCAAAAAAAAAAATCAATTGATTAGCAGTGTTTAGGTAATTATGGTATATAAAAAGAAAAAAGAAAAAAAGATGAAAAGTAAAAGACATGAGCAGAAAACTTTCAAACTTGAACAACCCTCCCAAGCTTAACGAAATCTATTATATTTAAAATCATCTGATATATATAAATATAATTATATATTATGTTATTTATATAAAATTTGGGGGATGGACTGGATCGGGCGAGGGCAGAAATGATCAACTCAATCTTCAACCTGACTCTAGAGTCCCTCTATTAAATAATTAATGATTATATATTTTTTGAGTTGGATTTGGGCTGTAGTTGGTCCAACCCAGGTTGCGCTCTTAATTGCTACGACGAGACTATCAACTTGCCCAGTGCCGATTGCAAAGATTCGTCACTTGGACAGAGGCATGGATCCAAATATTTTAATTTGGCACAAGATAACCCATAATGTTATCTCATGGATCTAACCGTTTCTGCTACATGCTTGTCAACTAATGCAAGCTCATATTTGCATAGTACAAGGCATGCACCAAAACTTGTCCCACCATTTTTTTTGGCACTTTTCTCACCATTTAAAAGGGTCTAATTCCAAGATCTCCTATGTTGCATGTCATTGATCGGATCATGTCACCGATGGGAGTGTTGGTTGTCCTGCCATTCTAATTAAGTTTCATGTTTGGTTTGATAGAAACCAAGAGACTTCACAGTATTCCAAAAACTCTCTCAACTTTACGTTTGTCTCTTAATGAGGCATTCTGTTGAAAAACAATTTCTCTAATTAGTCCGTTTAGGACGTTACACATTAATGGAATGGTCTAGAATTCATGTTAAAGACCAGCTGCTAACAAGAATTATATTGCAGGAAAAACTTACAGGTTTCGGATATCAAACGTGGGGCTACAAAATTCACTCAACTTCCGCATTCAGGGCCACAGGATGAAGTTGGTTGAAGTTGAGGGAACGCACACCGTGCAGACCACATTCTCATCCCTGGATGTCCATGTGGGCCAATCCTACTCTGTTCTTGTCACTGCTGATCAGCCCGCTCAAGACTACTACATTGTCGTGTCAACTCGTTTCACATCCGTCGTCCTCACTACCACAGGCGTTCTACACTACAGCAATTCTGCCGGTGGTGTTTCAGGCCCACCCCCCGGTGGACCTACTATCCAAGTTGACTGGTCTCTAAATCAGGCTCGTGCTATAAGGTTTCTCTCTACGACTCTACCCCTTTGATACTCTTATTCTTGCCTACAATTAATATCAGAAGCCCATTCATTTAATATTAAGAATCTCAACTTTTATTTTCCTCTTTTCAGGACTAACCTCACGGCGAGCGGACCAAGGCCAAACCCACAAGGCTCATACCACTATGGCCTCATCAACACAACCCGGACCATCAAGCTTGTCAATTCTGCAGGTCTCATCAATGGAAAGCAGAGGTACGCGGTCAACAGTGTTTCCTTCATCCCTGCAGACACACCTCTAAAGATTGCAGACTTCTTCAAGATTGGAGGTGTTTTTCGCCTTGGAAGCATCTCCGACAATCCTACTGGTGGGGGGATGTATCTTGACACAGCAGTTATGCCAGCCGATTTCAGAGCTTTTATTGAAATTGTTTTTGAGAACCACGAAGACATCATTCAGAGTTGGCACCTTGATGGCTACTCTTTCTTCGTAGTGGGGTAAGGATGATGAGTTCTTCCCTCTATAAAGCTAATTCAACACGTATCATTAATTTATTTCCTTTATGTTTACATATCCCGTTATTCGATACGGGTGTAATTCAGTCGGCTAGCTTATCGAAGCAAAAATGCATCATGTATATGTTTCAACTTGAGCTTATACTTGTTTTGATTTGTATTGCAGAATGGATGGAGGATTGTGGACACCAGCTAGTAGGCTGCAATATAATCTTAGAGATGCTATTGCACGGTGCACTACTCAGGTGAGATGACGACTTAGCCTAGTCAAACAACTTGGGCCTGAAATTCTGAAGGCCCCATTTTGTAATCTATATCATCCGAATTGGAAAATCTTGCCCAACCTTCCAATTCGCATAGTTTTGTTTTACATTCCTCCCCTTTTAGGATTCTATCATTGTTTTCCAAGACTTGGGTTTGCCAAGGGAGGAATTTGCTGCCAAAATACGTATATGATTGGGGTGTCTGTGGATCAGTTTTGGGTTGGACTCGTCCAAATCAAAATCAATTTAAATGGATTAGAGAGAACAATAATATATATTGAATTAAACCATTCCAGACTTGATGGTCCAAAATATTTATTGGATTGAATTGGATCTGGTCCATCATAATAAATTTATATTGGATGAACTGGATTGAACCAATATCTAGTCTATTAAGAATACATGTATTAATGGACCAGGTTTAATTTTATCAGATTGGACGGACCTATCCAAAATGGTTCAAATATTCATCAGATTGAATTGGATCTGGCCCATTTATAATAGATTCATATGAACAAGATCGGAATGGGCGAAAACCAATCCAATTGACGTGTGGACCTATCTCCCTACACATGGTCCACACCACAGCCTTTGGTCTTATTTGGGTTTGACTCATATGACACCTCCACTTAGGCACTTGGCCAATGCATACTTGATTTTCTACAAGAGTTTGTCTTAAATTCCGGTTAATGATGAGCTTATCTTAACTCTTAAGCACTAGTAACATATCCAATTAGAAATAAACTCAATGACATCCAGGAATTTTTTTTTTTTAATTTTATATTCATGCCTTGTGTTGCAGGTGTATCCCAAATCATGGACAGCTATATACGTTGCCCTCGATAATGTGGGAATGTGGAACTTAAGATCGGAGTTCTGGGCACGCCAATACCTTGGGCAACAATTTTACCTTCGTGTCTACTCTCCGGTAGAATCGATCAGAGACGAGTACCCGATTCCAAGGAATGCACTTGTTTGTGGTAGGGCTAGTGGTAGACACACTCGACCCCTTTAATGTGAACCCCAATTAGCTTAGCCGCTTAGAGTAAACTAAGTAGCTTTGTTTGTTGCTTCCCAATCGCATCTTTAGGTGCTTATTTATGAAAATTGAAAATTTAAGAAAGTGAGCTCGCACCTTTAGAACTCTATCTAGATGACCCCAGCTCGAGGTCTCATTCTTTTCTACATGAATGTTGTATCTTTAATTTGATCTATCTTTATTTATTCGAAGTACATTTGTTTCGCTCTCTTTTTGGTGGAAAGTACATTGATTAATGTAGTAAATTTTGGTTATTCTAATATATTATTGTTTGGAATAAGTATCCTAAATGGATTTATACAACTACTTGGAGTACATAATTGTGGATCTTCTTTTTCTTTGAATGATATACTTGACAACACTCATAAGAAGTGATCAATTGCAAGTTTGAAGGGGATAGAAGGGTATCAAGGGATAAGGGTGGACCAAAAAGGACGTAACCAAAGTAGTAAGCATGGTTTTCAAAATTGGATTGGATCGGACAGTCGGATCGGAAAAACCGGAAACCGATCACTTGATCGGTTTTATTTTCCCCCAAAACCACATTTTTCCTCCAAAACCGTTGATTTTGGTTAGCAAACCGCTGAACCAGCCGATTAATTGTTTGAACCATGCGAACGGTTTTAATCGTTTTTCAATTTTTTTTTAATTTTTTTGTCAAAACGGGCCAATCATTCAAACCAGTAACCAGACCCCTAACCGGTTCGGTTTTAAAGACCATGGTAGTAAGACATGATGTTAAGTGTTAATAATCTAACAATGGATAATGACATCTATAAAAGAGGAAAGAGGGGATGTGAGGGGTCCTCTCACCATAAAGCTTACACAAACCTTTTCCTATCATTTCTCACACATGTAGTTAGTTAGTTTTATATTAAATTATCAAAAATATAAGAAAAAATAAAAGATCCTCTCCGTTTTAATTGTCTCTAAAGCTCAATTTGAAAGGAGTATAAATACAAATATGTACATTATAAATACATACAAAATATAAGGTTTTGTATTTGCACTCGTTCCAAACTATGCTTAATGAAATTCATCCATTACTTGAATAAAAACTATCTTAGGTCTTAATTTTTTCTAATAAAATCCATTATTACTCTTGCCAATGATCTCTCTCTCTCTCTCTCTACATGGTCAATGTTTGTAACATCTTTCTCAGTCCTTTTAAATCCCAAATCCATATCTCTATGGATACAATTGGATTCAAATCAAGGTATATTCAAATCCGACCCAATACACCATAGATCTGATCCTACTGGTTCTCATAATTACTAATTCGAATTTGAATCCGATCAAAATGGTAGATATCTGAATCTAATCTGATCCAATTTCATTTAAAAAATAATAATAAACTACTAAAAGGAAAAGAAAATATAGCAGATTAGACAAAGAAAAATAAAAAATACAAATATTTTTTCAACTATTTTTTATCATATATATATATGTTTTTTATAAAAAATATATCGGAAATTTTCTTAAACTACCCTTATGGTTTAGCTAATTGACCAACTCTACCCTTACTATTTACATATTGTCTTAAGTACTAACAGAAAAAATGAAATATCAATTTTGCCCTTCACTATTCTTCAAATTTTCAAAATAAAACTAAAAATTATCAAGAACTATTTTCCTCTTTCGGTCTTCTTCTCCACTAAATTTGCTGCTCTCAAGGGTTTTTCTTTTTCCTCTTCTTCTATTACGGAATCTCAGGTTTAGCACAGAATAGACATAAAATCAGAGGACCACCATTAACGACAACCGAGTAATGACTCCTCTGATTTTTCAAGGAGAGGAGTGAAAAAATAATTAAAAAAAAAAAACAGAAACAACCCAGATATCCAACGCTAGTGTGCGACCTCATTAAAGAAATGGCCCCATATATCTGCACCCCCAACCCACCGCCACTTTCGGTTTCCTGGGACTTGAGACATAAGACGACAAGAACAACGTTAGGCACCAAGGGTTATAGTCCCATTGGACATTATTGTCGTGGTTGTTTGTAGATGCAGGAGGGAACAGTTTACTACAACAATGGACATGACTGGAGAGTTTTTGTGGATTTTAAGTGTAGGGCCCATAAATATAACGGATTCTAGTAGTCTTTTACAAATTCCCATTAATTGCAGACTCCTCCTTGATTCTGGATCCCAAAACTAAAAAGCTTTTTATTTTTGTTTCTATGGCTTTGTAGCAAAGGTGGAGAGTGGAGAATTGCATATCCGTGAAAGGGGAACTTAAAAATTAAGAGGTGAGTAATTGGTTATGTTGCAACGATGATGGTCTTTCAGAATGACGTGCTTTTTGAATTTCAATTACTTGAAGCGAATTGTAATCTACATATCTGAATACGTTTTTCATGTAGAAACCAGTTAAGCATTTCATTTTAATATTTTCGGATTGTTTTGGTTTATGCATGAAGCTCTGCTTTAAGATCTTGCCAAGTAACTCCATAGGATTGGACCTTTTCTGCTTGATTTGAATTTTCATGCTCTATATACCGATTTAATGTTTTCAGGTTGGTTTGCTATTTTAACTATTTCCCAACGTCTTTATAAGAGTAATACTAAAAAAAACAATGAGAATAAAATGATTCAAGTGATGACTGATCTCTTAAATCATTTAAATAGAATAGAAAAGTTACAAGAGGATAACTATGTACAGAAGATAACAATTATAGAGTTAGAATTTATCTAGGAAATTACATGATAATGAGATAAGGTGATCAGTTATCTAGGATAGCTATCAGAGATACCCATCCCAGTTACAAATCTATCATAACTATTGAGATACTCTAAGATATAATAAGTGGGCTAGGGGAGGTGGAGTCGGGGGGTATGGGAATGGTCTGAGGAGAGGTGCACGGGTATGTAACGATAGGAGGGCCAACCACAGTGTCGGTAGCCGATTTGGGAGGTGGAGTTGGGCTGCCAGAAGTGCATGGGATGGTATGTTCATCAAAAACCACATTACGGGAAATATATAGACGTCTAGATGTTAAGTTCAAGCATTTGTACATTTTGTGATGTAAACTGTAACCCATAAATAACGTTTGGATCAATAGTCCAGCTTAGAACGGTTATAGGGTTTGAGATGCAGATAGCAAGTACATCCGAAAGTGCGCAACATAGTGTAATCGGGTTTAGTGCCAAAGAGACACTCCAAGGGAGAATTCATGTCCAGTATTGGAGAAGAGAGCCGGTTAATTAAAAAAAATGCAATCTCAAAGGCATCATACCAGTAATGTTTGGGCATTGAAGCCGTAGCCAGGAGGGTGAAACCCATTTCAACAATATGGTGATGGTGTCGTTCGACGGCCCCATTTTGTTCATGAATATGAGGACATGAGAAACGATGAGTGATGCCTGAATCAGAGAGAATAGGGAGAAGTGATTTGTATTTTGTACCTCTAGCCGTTTGCAAAGTTTTAATAGAGGTGTTTAATAAATTCTCCACGTTCTTCTTAAAAACAACAAAAATAGAGACAACCCGAGTTTTAGAGGTCATAGGAAAAATCCATATATACTTGCTGTAAGCATCAACAAAAATCAAATAATAGCGAAAACCATGTCTTTAGAGACAGGGGCTGGTCCCCAAACATCAAAAAATAAAAGTTCTAATGGATACTTTGCAACAAAAGTACTACTAGAAAACGACAAGATATGACTCTTGCCTAGTGGACAGGATGAACAAAAAGAGATGTCCTTATTTGAAACTGGAAGCTTAAATGAAGATAAGATGTGGGTAGTTGGGATGTCCTAGCTGCGAATGCCATACTGAAAATGATGCTTTCTCACCAATGAACGCCGATGGAGCTATAGATGTGCAATTTGTCTTTAGCTAATAGAGCCCTCCCTTAATCGGCCCTTGGAGGAGAGTTTTCCCGGTCGCTTTGTCCTTAACAAAGAAGCCATTAGCATCAAAAATAAAAATTGCATTATTGTTCTTATAAAACTGCTTGACAGAGAGCAAGTTCTTAGATATATTAGGAACTCTAAGAACATTTTTCAAGACAAGGATATGATCTGTTCCATGATACTCATCGTGAAGAGAGAGATTCCCAAGATCTGAAGTCATATGATTGGTTGCTCCAGAATTAGGATACCAATTTTCATCATGAGCAGATCATGAAGATGAGGCTATATGAGCTTGTTTGGTAGGCTTATTGGCAGTGAGTTCCAGATAACGGCGACAAGTAGCTGTTGTATGGCCAGGATACCCACAGAGTTGACAAACCACAGTGACGTTCTTGAAATTGGATCTGCTGCAATTATTGTTATTATAGGAAGTTTTCTGGGAGTTGTCAGAACCGCCATCATTATTAAATTGTCGAGGCTTATAAGAAGAGGATTGATTGCAATTGAAGGTTTTCTTCTTATTGGACAAATTAGTAGAAGGAGAATCCAATACAGATTGTGAAGAGTGATGCTCTAAGCGCTTTTCAAAGGTATGTAATAGACTTTGAATTTCAGCAAAAGAAATACTATTGAGTCTAGTAGTTACAGAGAGCACAAAGGTATCATATTCAGCAGGTAAACCACCAAGAAGATAATGAATTTGATCAACATCAGTGAGAAAGTGTCAGAAGCAGCTAAAGCATCAAATAAACTTTTAATTTTCTGAACATAATTAGTGACAGTGAGAGTACCCTTATTCAGATAAGCTAATTCTAATTTCAAATCATGGATTCAAGTTTTACTGGTAGATGAAAAAAGAACATGAAGTCGATCCCATACCTCTCTGGATGTCTTATAACCAACTACTTGAGCCAGAACTGGCTCTGTTAATGAAGATAATAACCAGCTTATGATCAACTAGTCTTGTTCGATCCATGCTGCATGATCTAGGTTGTTGCGACTGGATCCTTGGCTACTGCCATCTTCCAAGAAGAGTGGAGGACAAGAAAAAGATTCGTCCACATAACCGTATAAACAATGCCCTCTGAGAGTACAATCCAGTTTTACTGAGACTACATTCATAAAACTAGAAAGGGAGACCACCATAATGGTTCGACCATCTGTCGATCTAAGTTGCATTTGTCTCTGGACAGCATGAGCAGTGGTACTTGTTTCTGAAGCCATGACGTTTGTCAAAATGGCTCTGATACCATATAAGAGTAATACTAAAAAAACATGAGAATGGAATGACTCAGTTAGTGATGACTGGTCTCTTGAATCAATTAAATAGAGAAGCTACAAGAGGATAACTATGTACAGAAGATAGCAATTACAGAGTTAGAGCTTATCTAGGAAATTACATGATAA